CTGCCAAGAGAAAACTCAGATCTGCTGTCACTCAAAGCCCTTTTCATTAAAGTCACCCAGTGCACCAGCTGTCCACCCCTCCCCTTCAAGATGATACGATGAGTGGGGTTTACAACTATTAAGGAATGACAGAGAGAGAGAGAACTTGAGAGAGGGTGGAACTTCAGAAGTCACATGCCAGTCCTCGTCTTGGAAATGAAGATAGTCCCCCAAAAGACTACACAAATGGCCCCAAATTACTCAGGAAAGAGTGACACAGCCAAACCTGGAGCTTCTCTTCTCTATCACTGCCCAGTGAGCTTTCTCTTTCTCAAAGCTCCCTCAAGTGAAACCACACCCAGAGACCACTTAGGCTCTCTGACACTCAGTGTTAAGTTAAAGCCACACCGGGGCGTCAGGCTTCATGAGACAATACTTGTGTAACTGCCAGGTTTACTGGAGTGGGCTGAATGCTGATCCCTTTCTCCCCAAAAGATACATCCACATCAAATCTTTGGGACTTGTGCATGCTAACTTATGTTGAGAAAGGGTCTCCGCAGATTTAATTATGCTAAGGGTCTGGAGGTGAAGAGATCATCCTAGATTCTCTAAGTAGGTCCTAAACCCGATGACAAGTGTTCTTAAAAGAGAAAGGCAGAGGGAGGGAGATTTAACACAGAGAGGAGATGACACAGAGGAGGCGGCCACATAAACACGAAGGCAGAGGTTGAGGTGATACTGCCATAAGGTAAGAAACACCAGGAGCCACCAGGAGCTGCAAGAAGCAAGGTCAGACCTCTGCAGAGCCTTCAGAGACAGAGTGGCCTTGCCCACACATTGAGTTCAGACCTCTGGCCTCCAGAAAGAATACAATTCTGTTGCCATTGCCGTCATAGCAGACACAGGAAACTAATACACTAGTAATCTCTATGGATAAAGTTTTTTAAACACCCACAAAAACTCAAGGCTTACGGTATTTACAACAAATCCACAATCATAATATTTCACCAACAATAAAGTCCGAGAATGAGTGGCAGAAGGAGTGTGTAAAGTCCAGTCCTGCTTTATATTGGCAGCCAAGCCAAACTGACTCACAAGCTGTCACATGGCAGTGTGACAAGCTTGCAGGACATTTTTCTAGATCACACACCCATCTAAGGAGGCCAGCACGCCTGCTGGGTGGACCCTGAATCTAAGGCTGAGCTGGTGCGAACCACTCCTAGCCGTTCCAACTCTGAAGGCATTGCATGGCAAATCTCCAAGTCTTAAACTTCACAAAATAGCCTTCACAGAAACCTGAAGCCAATTTGAGAAGAGGCCTTTGCAGCCTCAGTGGACACTGAATGAATCGGGCCTCAAGGGAGAAAACAGAGTAAGCAGATGTTTCTTCAAAATGGCATGTTCTTGGATCTGGTTTTATTTTAGATACTCCTTCTCACAGCTGTTGAGCTAAATCTGAAGGCAATCAACACACACATACACACAGTCCTTTACCCGCCCCCATTCTTTTAAGAGAATACAACTCCACATGTAGACTGAGGAGCCTGCAAACATGACTGTCTCAGACATAGGGACTGTGTGCAGTATCTTCCTGCCTTTCTTCCTATAGCTGAACATCTTGGAAATGGTTCTGGTGTTTTTTGTCGTTGTTGTTTTAAAATGAAGGCTGGGCTCAGTTGCTCATGCCTGTAACCCCAATGCTTTGAGAGGCCAATGTGGGAGGACTCCTTGAGTCTAAGAGTTCGAGGCTGCAGCAAGCTATGATCATACCACTGCACTCTAGCCTGGAAAAAAGAGCAAGACCTTGCCTAAAAAAAAAAAATCCCCAGCACTTTGGGAGGCCGAGATGAGAGGATTGGCTGAGTTCATGGGTTTGAAACCAGCCTGGGCAACTTGGTGAGACCTCATTTCTACAATAAATCAAAAAATTAGCTGGGCGTGGTAGTGTATGCCTGTATTCAGCTACTTGGAAGGCTGAGGCAGAAGGATCGCCTGAGCCCAGCAGGTCGATGCTGGGGTGGCTGTGAGTGTGCCACTGCACTCCAGCTGGCCGACAGAGTGAGAATTCAACCAAAAAAAAAAAAATACCCAATTTCTTCCAACTAAACAGGTTTATCTCAGTCCTTCACAGGAGATCAAACTCAGGAACCCCAAGGGAAATGTTAATCTTCTCTGAGAAGGGTTCTCTCAGGCTCTGGAGAGGGATGACAGGCAGATTCAGGGTACAGGAGAGGAGGCACCAACTACTGCACTTTGAATGCTGTGATATGACATCTTGGAGTTCAAGCTGCCCTTGGGTGGGTATATCTAATTTCTCCAATAGCCTTCTGAGGACGTGCTTCTTCCTGGGCGCAAACCTCAGTTTTGAAGTGTACTTGGACTGATAATGGAAAGCTATGATTTGGAAAGGTTATGAGACAACTCCTTCCACCCTGACTACACGTGTGAAGGTGAAGGGTCCATTTCTCAGGTTCCACATCAGCCAGTGCCGCCACTGTTTTGTGTTCAGAGTTCTGCAGTAGCCTAACTGGCCTGTCTCCAACCTGACCCTAACCATTTAAAAACAATTTGAGCTGAAATGAACATAGTACAAAATTAGCCATTACAAAGTGATAATTCAGTGGCACTTAGTACATTCATTCACAAATTGTTGTACAGCCACATCCTCTAATACCAAAATATAATCATCATCCCCAAAGGAAACTCTATCCATTAAGCAGTTACTCCCCGTTCCCATTTCCCCCAGCCCTTGGCAACCAATTGTCTGTGGATTTACCCATTCCAGATATTTTCTTTTTTCTTTTTGAGTTGGAGTCTCACTCTGCTGCCCAGGCTGGAGTGCAGTGGTAAGCTCACGGCCACCGCAGCCTCGACCTGCTGGGCTCAAGCAATCCTTCTGCCTCAACCTTCTAAGTAGGTGGAACTACAGGCACGTGCTACCACATCTGGCTTATTTTTTTGATTAACTGTAGAGACAAGATCTCGCCAAGTTGCCCAGGCTGGTCTCGAACCTCTGAGTTTAGGCAATCCTCTTGCCTCAGCCTCCTAAAGGGTGGGATTACAGTCTTGAGCCACCATGCCTGGCCCATTCAGATACTTTCCATAAATAGAATCATATACTATATGGACTTTTGTGCCTGGATTTTTTTTTTTTAACTTAGCATCATGTTCTCAAGGCCCATCCATCACAGCTTTGTTCAAGGCTGAAGAATATTCCACTGTTATGAGTACACCATGCTTTGCTTATCCATTCATCTGCTAATGCACACACTTGGGTTGTTTCTACCCTTTAAGCTGATATGAATAGTGTGGGTATGAACATGTGTATGCAGATTTGAGAACTCCCATCCAGTCTTTACACAACAATCTGATCTGATCATAATGACACTCCAGCTATAATCACTTCCATGGTTTCCTACCACTTTTCGGGTCACACCCACCCATCCTCTGGAATGTGACTCTCAGGCCCCTACTCACCTCTCCAGCACCATCTCTCAAACCCGTTCACCTGCCCAACTGACTTTATTTCTTGTTTGTGCTGCACTTGCCCTTGACTCTGAGTCGCTGCAGGTGCTGATCCCGCTTCCCAGAATCCTCTTCCTCTGGCTAAAAGGCAACTGCATTTGACAACCATGTCCTTATCTTATCACGCTGGCCCCTCTATGTTTCAAATAAAGGGCTGATCTGGGCTCAGTGGCTCAGCCTGTAATCCCACGCCTTTGGGAGGCTGAGGTGAGTGGTATGCCTGAGCCCGCGGGTTCGAGACCCGCCTGGGCAGCGAGACCTCATCTCTACAACAAATCAAAAAATCAGCCGGGCGTGGTAGCGCATGCCTGTAATTCCGGCTACTTGGAAGGCTAAGGCGGAAGGATCGCCGGAGCCCAGCAGGTCGAGGTTGTGGGGGCTGGGAGTGGCCACTGCACTCCAGTCTGGGCGACAGAGTGAGACTCCAACTCAAAAAATAAAAAAAATAAAATAAAAATAAAGGGCTTGTGGTGGGATTCAAAAGCTTCACTGAACCTTTGCTGTGGAATCCCGTGGAAGAGAGAAAGTGGCCCAGAAACACCGTGGAGCCCTCGGATCTGTGTCTGTGTCTGTGTCTCTGAAACATGCCCTGATAGTAGGTTTAAATGCGGTCATATAGATTTAGTGCTCTGGTGCCTGACAAAGCAAGGTGACAAGCTGCGGGACCAGGCAGTCATCCCCCAGCTCTGGGACTTCCTGACCCAACTCTGCTCAGGACACATTCACCACCCTGGCATACAGGATGTGGAAGAGGCTATTCTTGACTTTTCCCATCAGAAGTTAGGAGTTAGAAAGAGGAAATGAAGATGGGGGCCTGTGAGAGATGGGGTAGGGACTCCCTCTGGATTCTGGCCCTAGAATTTCCTGTGATGGTGTCTCACTTAGGAGGAGCTGGCTCAGCCCAGAGGCAGAAGGCTAGGGGCAGCTGCTGAGAAAGTAAGAACAAAGCTTTCCGGCTCAGGGCAGAATCACACTTGAACCTGACGGGCTCTAGCTCAGCCTGGGCCACAGGGTGCTCTGGGTCACACAGGATGTGGATGTGGTTTTCAGAGGGTGGGGAAGTCGATGCCTTCACCTGTCATCCACCCTTCTTTTTTGATTTCCATTCTGAGTCTCTGCTCACTGAGTCTACACACGCTCATGTATGCACATGTGTGTGCAAGTCCACACACAGTTTTAATACCCTCTTCATTTCCTCTTTCTAACTCCTAAAAATAAAAGTGGCCTAATACTGCCTTTCCTTCTATGTTATTCCCAACAGAAGCTTCATCACTTGTTTTTTTCTTCTCAAATCCATCATTCCAATTTCCACATGAGCACGTGTTAGAAACTGCCTTTGAGAACAGTACAGCACATTATTTTTCTAAGACAGTCGTCTGCAACTGCTTTCTTTCCTCCATGGGTGAAAAAAGATGAAAAAGAGGCTCTCTCTTGTGTTTCCAGGGGCCTTTGAGGAAAATGATGGTGGCTGTGAGGGGAGGCCGCCTGTCACTTACCTCCAGGACTTTCCCTGTGATAAACTGGTGGCACGCTTCACATTTCACCCCAAAGAGTCCCTGGTAGTCCTTTTCACAGTATGGGGCACCATCCCTGTAAAACAAAAACCTGTTTCAGCTCCTGAGGAGGTAGCCGAGGGCTGGAGAAGACATCAAAACCACTTTTCTCTGAGCCTTTCTCCACATAGAACAGTAGTAGAACCTATATTTCTCCTGCAGAGCATTCACGCTCCCAGTGATCTGGTTAGACGTGATCAAAACCACAAACTAATGATCAGAGAGAGTGCTGAGGCTCTCTGGGTCACACAGAAAGGACAGTCAAGTTGTCATATGGCTACCCTTGCTGATTGCTTGATTGTCTCAGAATCAACTAGCAGTAAGACTAGCACCATTCTTCCTCCACTGGCCCAGCTCAGCTTCCAAGGTGGGCTCAGTGTTCATCTACCCCTAAGGGCCAGACCAGAGCCTTCTTCCTATAGCCTCAAGACACCATCTCCTCAGCTCGAAGGCCTCAGGGGCCCAGGGCCTTCTCCTCCAACTCACAACCTTCTCTGTTTACCTCAGAATACAGTAAAAATATAATTTTCTGTGTGATACTGCATGGAAAATTTAAAAAGCACCACTCTAGACAGCCAAGTTACCTACAGATGCACAACTTTCAATGATAGTTTAAAAGCTGGGCATTCCTCTTCTTTGGCTGCCTGTCACGATCACCTGAGGAGTGTCTTGTTCTGTCTAATATAGGTGTTTTGGCTTTACCCTGTTTCTATGGAATTAGATTTCTAGAGTGTGAGGCCCAAGCTACTTTGTTTCAGTATATTTTAAAATTAAGTTCATCATTTGGTTTTGAACATGTGGTTTCACATGGTTGGGGGAAGTTTTTAAAAGCATAAAAAGGTACATAGTGGAACATTCTCCTCCATTGCCAGAACACATTTTTATTTTTTTAAAGTCACTTCTTTAACTCCAGTAACTACCCACTATTATTGGACATGAGCCCACTCCCTGGCAGGCTATTCTGTGCATTGGTCCTAATGGGCTCACTGCCTAGGCCGTGTGTGTGTGTGTGTGTGTGTGTGTGTGTGTGTGTGTGTGTGTGTGTGTGTGTGTATGATTTATTTATTTATTTTAGGGGGTGGGAGGAGCATCTACAAATATGCTCAAGCCCTGGAAGGAGAAGAAAGATTTACTAGTTCCATAGAGGAGGGAAAAAAACCTGCAAAAGTGAAATTATTATATGCTTCATTGGTTACAATGAAATAGTACAACATTGTCACCCTCATGAATTATTAAGTTAGGCAATGATTAACATTTCATAGTTTACAGTGAAACTAATGCCAATTTATGGCAAAAGCAGAATATAACTCAGTTTAAAAGTTTTAGAGCAAAAAATTCATTCTGACAGCGGGATGTGAATGACATCCAGTATGCCTGATGGGGTGGGGCAGGACCTGCGGAGGGCCCTACTGAAAGAATCACACCCCCTCGACCCAGTCTTACTTGCTGATGTACTCCCCGGTGAGGACCTTCCCGCAGGACTTGCATTTGAAGCACCCCAAGTGCCACTGCTTATCCAAAGCCAGCAGCGCCTGCCCATTCTTGATATCTCTTCCGCAGCCAGCACAGTCTGGAAGAGAGAGGCAGCCCGTGGTTACAACACGTTTGCTCTGCTAAATCTAAGCACGCAGGCCAGCTCAACCCCAATGTGTGTCTATCACACACTCAGTAAATATTCACTCAAGCACTGTTTCATTCCTGTTTCTTTCCCTGCACAAGATCTTTCCCAGAGAAGACGCACAGGCCACATCGTCACATAGCATGAAAGCTTCACGAACCTCAGTGGATATGAGAGGATGGACGTCCTTCACCTGTTTAGTACCTGGGGGGGGAGGTATTTAAGCACCCTCTGAGCTCCAGGTGACCTAGAGAATATTTAATTATAGTGTCCTGGCTATGATTTGAAGAAAGCATTCACAAGCGTTTATTAATTTAGAGCAAATATAAACAGCTCAGCACTTTATGCCGGAGGCCATGCTTAACCCTATGTATATGATTCCTGGAATGCTGCCTGCAAATCTCATTTTTGTAAATGGGACTCCACTTCCTTATCAACCTAAACCAGCCCTTCAAAGATTTGTGATCATTGATTAAATGGTTCTTAATTCCTTAGTTTTAGTGTTCCTTGGCAGTCTCCTGAAAAGAAGATAAAGGAGAAATGTTTCTTCATGGTAAAGAGAATGGGCATTAGAATTAGATAGCTTGGTTCCAAACCCCAGCTCAATTCCCTGCTGGCTTGCTGTGTGGCCAAGGCAAGTTACTCCCTTTCTAAATCCTGGTTTACTCCTAAGGAAATGAGGACGTTATTAGCACCTGTCTCAAGCCTCTGATGAGGTTGTAGTGAAATAATGGATTAAGCACAGTAGATGGCATATCAGAAGTAACCCTATAAGCAATTGTTATTATTATAATTGCCATTATTATTCTGATTGCTGATGATTTCATCGTGTTAGGGAAGTTTGAGTACCTTTTTAAAAGAACTCAGAAGAATGTAAATTGGCACAACCTTTTTGAAAAGCAATTTCAACATCTATAAACATTCCAAATCAATGTACCTGAGAAGATGAAAATAAACACACTGGCAGGCTGGCTAGGATTTTCACAACAGAACATACAAAATGCTCATGGAAAAAAGCAAGGTCAGGTAAGGCTACTTGGTGGCCAGGCTTGGAACAAGACAGAGACAAGGTCACTCAGCACACAGAGTGATGATACACCCCCCTTTTCTGACCATCTCCGTGACTGCTGCTCCTCTACTGACACCTCTAGCCCAACTTTAATCCTCTCTCCTCCTAGAAAAGCTTTCGAGACCCAAACACCAACCTGGTCTTACTTCTTCACAGCATCAAACCCAGAACTACTTCTGCTCCCTTGACACCTCCCCAAAATTACCCAGCACAAGCCCAAATCCTACAAAAACTCCTTCAAACTGCACCCAGAGCAGACTCACATTTCCTCTGGTTTTCTCTCTTGCTGTAGCTAGTTAAGTAAACCTGACTGTTTTTTTTTTTACTACAGATGTGTTTCTGGTGATCTTGGTCAGTGAGTGTTAACATGCTTTGAGACCCAGTCATTATTTCACGCCTAAGATTTTATTCTACAAATATATTTGTAAAAGGAGTGTGTGTGTGTGTGTGTGTGTGTGTGTGTGTGTGTGTGTGTGTGTGTGTGTGTGTAGCATTTTTCTAACAATGTGACCTGAAATAGCCTCTAGGGACATCAGTGAGGGGCTAGTTGAAATAATTATAGTATAGTTAATAATGGAATACTACATGCTATCAAAAAGAATGAGGTGCATTTGTGTGCTGGCATGGAAAGATGTCCAAAATAGACAAGGTAAAAAAGGCAAGCTGTAGAGCAGTATGCATAGCACAAGCTCATTCACAAAAAAGTAGTAAAGAAAAGGGTATGTGTGTGTTCTAGTTCTAGAATAGAACATATCTGGGAGAAAAACATTATAAATTCTTAAGAAGCTTCTCTCTTGGCTGGGCTCAGTGGCCTGTAATCCCAGCACTTTGGGAGGCCGAGGCAAGTGCACTGCCTGAGCCCATGGATTCGAGACCAGCCCAGGCAACTTGGCAAAATGTTGTCTCTACAATAAAAAAAAAAAAAAAAATTAGCCAGGTGTGGTAGCGCACACCTGTAGTTACAGGTACTCAAAAGGCTGAGCGGAAGGATCGCTAGAGCCCAGCAGGTCGATGCTGGGGTGGCCATGAGCATGCCACCACACTCCAGCCTGGGTGACAGGGTGAGATTCCAACCCAAAAGAAAAAAAGAAACTTCCCTCTGTGGAGGAGGACTTACTTTTTACTTCACATCCTCTGTGTTGTTTGGAATTTCTTAAACCATGAGAATGTTTTTTAAAAATGGAGTAAATATTTATAAAGTTAAAAGATATGATGTCTGAATATTGTAGATTAGAATTTTTTAAGCTATAGCCCACATTTGAGTGTGTATTAGATGGTCATCAAATGTTAAGCATTTTTTGGGGGGGTTGAAGTCTCACCCTGTTGTCCAGGCTGGAATGCAGTGGCATGCTCACGGCCACCACAGCCTTGATCTGCTGGGCTCAGGCAGCCCTTCCACCTCAGTCTTCTCAGTTGCTGGAACTACAGGCACACACCACCATGCCTGGCTAATTTAAAAAAATTTTTATTTTATTGTAGAGATGAGGTTTCGCCAAGTTGCCCAGTCTGGTCTCAAACCCCTGGACTCAGGCAATCCTCTTGCCTCAGTCTCCCAAAGTGCTGGGATTACAGGCTTGAGCCACCGCGGCTAGTCTGAGCATTTTTTACAAGCTGGGATTTATATGCATTCCAACATCTCATCAAAAATTATATAAAAGGAATCTCACATCTGGTAGTTTACTATAAAGATAAAAATGGAACGTAATAATATTAGCTTTAAAATATAATTTTTAAAGGGTAGGAGCACAGTATGGACTTTATATAAATTAACAGTTAAAAAATAGACAATTTTTAGAGCAGTGGTGGGTTCACAGCAAAACTAAGCAGAAGGTGCAGAGATTTCCCCATAACCGCCATCCCCACACATGTACTGTCTCCCTCATTATCAACATCCCCCCACCAGAGTGGTACGTTTGCTGCAAATGATAAAATAACCTACACTGACATATCATTATTACCCAGAGTCCACAGTCTACATTGGGGTTCAGTCTTGATTTTGGACATTCTATGGTTTGGACAAATATATAATGACTTGCATCCACTATTATAGTATCACATAGAGTCATGTCACTGCCCCCCAAATCCTCTGTTCTCCACCTATCTATCCCTCCTTCCACCAACCTCTGGAAAGCATTGATATTTTTACTGTCTCCATCGTGTTGCCTTTTCCAGGGTGAAACGGACAGTTTTTAATTGAAGTTGAACTGATATTTTTCTTTATGGTTGTGATTAATTAATTCCCACTAGGTGGCAGCAAAGATTTAAATAAGAAGGAAGATGCTGTGTCATGGAATTTTTAAGCAGAAAATAAACGTTAGAGATGGCTTTTTCATTCTATAAACGATGACGACTGGGCTCAGAGAGGTTGACCAAGTTGCTCAGGGCCTCCCTCTTGCACCAGCAGTGGGGTCTGGGAAGAAGGATGGTGTGGAGAAGAGCACGGCTCTGGAGTCAGGAAGTCTTGGGCAAGAGGACTTTTGGAATCCTCAATTCTTCACCTGCAAAATGCTAACAATAATAGCCACTTCCTAGGTTGCTATGAGGGAGAAGAGAGCCCATGTACTTTTTCTTAACACTTACGACACCTTGTGGTGTTAGCCATTCAACAGGCTTCCTCTTTCTTCGACTGGGGCAGAGGTAGGGCTAGAAACCAGGTTTCTTGATTCCAAGTCTTGCTCTCTTTACAAGCATCTCAGTGCTTAGATATCCCAAAGCCATAAAAGAATTGAAAGCACAATCTGAGAACAATAAAAATCACTATGATCATTCTGCACTGAGGGTGTTCTGTGAATCAGGCACCCTGTGAGGCCTTGTAAACACGGTACCATTTAGTCTTCACAATCGTTCTAGTCAAAGTGTCTTGCAGTCTGGAAGCCCTCTATAATACTCAGATTCTCCATGCCCTACACAGAGTCTCATGGAGGAAGGTTATTCTACAACAGATTTTGATAATGTTTCATAGAGAAACATTCACAGACTGCTGAATGCTTAAGACACAAATCAACAAAGTGTTTCCTGTAAAAGAGAATACCAGCCAACATCAATATCCTGACCCAAAGTAATCTGGTGTATGTCTTTCAGACGCTACCTGCTCCCATCTGGACAAAGCCATGGTCTTCACCTGAGCCTGACACTGCGCTGGAAAAATGGAAAAGAGGCAAAGACAAAAGATTCATGCTGGATTGCTCACTCCTTCCATGCTCACTCCAACTAAACTCCTTTCTAAAGAACAAAATGTCCTACTCTCTATCTTCATGTTTTTCAGCTGTTGAAAAAATTGTTTCCACATCACTGAAGCAGCTGCTGATAAATATAGAAAGCTGGTGATTGGCACTGGAGCGACTGCTGAAGTCAGAACTAGGTGTGTATGGAGCAGCATCGAGGAAATAAAACCCACTAGCTACTCATCAGTGTGCTATCAGGGAAAAATAATAAGCAAACGTGAAGGAAAAATAAAGAAAAGAAAAACACCCAACCATAAATACTTCTCCCCAAGCTATTTACTCTTGGCACCAAGAGCCAGAGAAGAGCAGGGATGTGTCTATTCACGTCCAAGTTAAACAAGCATCCACATACACACCTGCTTCCACATCGACATCACTTTTTTTTTCTAAAGGCAATAAATATCTTTAACAATAGGAGTCCTGCCTGTCTCCCTTAATAGATCTATTTATTTATTTATTTGCATAGGGCCACAGATACCTGGGCTGCAAAAGTATTTAAGTTGAAGAAGGGGACATTTGGCTCTTGGGAAGGAGACCAGTGCTCCCAAGTTAAAAGAGACATCCATCCCTTGGGCAGCACTTAAGCTCCTCTCGGCCTGGAGGCCTATGTTCTCCTTGAGAACCACCTCTTCCTTCCATTTGGGAAAATTAAGTGCCAA